TGTTTAGCGAGCTATTGTAGGCAATTGAAGGAAATGATTTAACCCTGCCGGCACTGGTATTTAGTACACAGGAGTACGTATACAAAATAGACATCTTACATTCTCTCATACACATATGTGGTTTATCATTTGTATATTTACTGAATTCAGCTTAATTTTGTTCAAAATCACTATAAATAGGTAAGTAAATGAGTTAGGTGCCTATTTCAGGTTTTGTAGGCTAAATGTTACGTATCTACCTCTAAAGTCTGTGTTCGGGCCTAGGCAAATGTCATGTTTCTGAAAAACTAAATTTGTTAGGCAGGCAAGTGGGATCTCCGTTGAACGTTGAAGAATCTGTTTCATTTGGTCTTGTGCCGTAACTAAATGAAACTTTGTAATTCGAAAGTAAATCCCTTTTTAACTTCATTGACAATTTTAGCATGATAGGGGAGTAAAAAAAAAAACCGCATAGAAATAGCTTCCCTTCAGCACGTAAGTTTTTTTTTTTTGCTATAGAAACAGAAATTTTTCAGAGATTAAATAAATACCCTTCCTGAAAAACAACTATTAGTCACAGCAATGGGCAGAGGACAAAATGAAACAAAGCGCGGCTTTCAGAAAGGGAACCTTACATAATTAACATAGCTTGACGTTTGACAAGTGAAGTAGCGAAAACGTAAATCTCCTTTGGCGCTAAAACTGTTAAATATTCGTAACCGCCCCCGATTCTCTCCTCCTTCCTCCCCCTCTTTTTTTTAAAAACATGGACAGGTAACTTTCACGTTTGATAAAATATTGATACTTGAAGCGTCATTGCATGCTCCCCAAATGATTCCTTTGCTTTAGTTTAACCACTTTGATCTTCCGGTCTTTTAAAAGTTCTTGTTTTTATCCTCGGGCAATGCACAAAAACTAGAAATTCCCCCGAAAATTAAAATTTTGAAGCGGCTCCTCTCCCTTGAAATAAAGTAGAATTTCGTAGGGAATGGAGTAATTTTTGTCTTTACTCATAGATAGACCTTGTTTCATACTTGCACTCATAGGAAAGCTAAAAAAACAAAAAACAAACTCCAAATCATAAAAATATGTCTTATTTTAACTTTTTAGACTCGATTAAAGACAATCTCATTTTGATGAACTGAAAAGAAAATTCCTTGTTTAGTGAGGTTCGTTACATACCATGTCCAATTGCAGTCAGTTCCTATACAATATCAGTGGCACAATATGTTCTATTGAGATTTAGATACTCTACATATAACTTTTAAATCGCTGATTAGAGTACTGGTCACAGGTTTGTTGACCAGAGCACTTTAAACGCGGTGACGTTTTCATAAGTTTTTAGGTTTCTGGTTTGTCTTCCTTTTTTTTTTTTTTTTAATCGATTCACCCCAAGCAAGGCGGGAAGCCACTAGTACGCAAGGGGTTACAGAAGATTTGGAGCGAGAGCAGATAGTAGTGATAGAGGAAAGGATAAGGATAGTGAATAGATTAAGGCAACTGGAGATGTCGATTGACATTACATTTGAATAGTTGGAGATTATAGCTGTCAGGGAAACAGGAATAAGGAAGGGAGTTCTACAGGCGAGAGGTGCGAGATATGAAACTATTGGAGTAGAAGAGACGGCTACATTTAACAGTGAAAGGGTGAGAGCGGGATGCCAGCCTCGTAGGGTGCTTGAATTCATTAAGTCTGGGAACCAGCGCAAGCAGCTCATCGGAGCCATTTCCATGAAAGCATTTGTAAAAAAGACAGAGAGAGGCGACGGCGCGTCTGTGAGAGAGCGACTGCAGACGAGTTGCCAGATCAGGGCCAATTACATTGCATATCCGTCTTTGGATTTTATCAAGAACCCCGAGGCAAACAGAAGGGGCTCTAGACCATATATGTCAGCAATACTCCATGCAAGTTGATCTGTAGATTTGAAGGATCGATTTCAGGGAGAAAGATTTCCTGGCGCGGCACAGGGAGTCAACTTTCCTTGCGGTGGACGAAGCAATTGACTCAATGTATTTGTAATTGTTTCATCTCAGGTCAGTAGTCAACGTGAGACCGAGCAGCCGCAGAGAGAAGCTCTCGAGAAGTTGAGCGTCGGACATTCTAATGGGGGGGGGGAGGCAGAGAAGGATCTCTGTGGTGATTAATAGAGAGCAATTTTGATTTTGAGGCGTTAAAGTCTATCTCGGTAAAGTTAATTAGACGATAATGTCCATCTTTAAAAAAAATCTTGGTCAAGTCGTGTTATAAAAAAATCTAAATGTAAGCATTGACATATTTGTTAGTAGATATATGTCACTGGAATTCATGAAGACCCCTTGGTGGTTGAAATATTTGCTGCTGGTTCCAATGCTCGTTGTTTGATTCCAAGAACTGGAAAGCCGACTTTAAATGCAGTTGGAGAATTAGCACAAAACTCACGACAATTTTCATCCTGCACCCGACTTCGAAAGAAACCGGGGTATCAAAGGGACGGTTTTTCTCTTGACACCGCTATTATTGCATATACTTTTAGTTTTGTTTGACTCTATCGGCAATATTTATTGTTTTAAAAAGCGATGGTGAAGATTGATAAAATCCAAACATGAAAATGGATGTATACATTTTTTTTATTCTTGAGAATTGACAACAAAGGTATTAAACATTATTTATTTATTGGATTGAATAAAAACCTTACTTTCACAGTTGTTTAAAATGGTAAATAATAAACATTACATTGTAATTGGTTTACTTATTTTGATAATTTTGTAAATTGTTTAATAAATCTTTTGAATAAAACGATTTCTCTTCAAATTTAATTCTTTGTAAAATTGTAAATAATAAATCTGTATAAAAGGTAAATAATAAATATCGCTTTGTACTCAGTTCACATATTTTTTATAATCTTGTAAATAAACATTGCCGAGGGAGACAAAGATGTATACAACAATAGCGGTGTCAAGGAAATAACCGTTCTTTTTTATGAACGAAGGTCAGACATTGTCAAACTAACTGAATTATGTTTGCACGAAATTTTGGGACGAGGATTTATCATTATTTACTCTATTTACATTCGGACTATTGTCACTGTCTTTGTTGTTGTTATCTTTGTTGTTGTTTCGGTTATTGTGTCCTCCGGCCTTCTTCAGGTGTCCTATCAATCCGCATAACCTTCTGCGAATTTCGAACAGAATCCTTTATTTAATCTACAGGTGTAGATTGATCTCGTCTTGTCGATGTCTACGACTGGATCTTGGTCGTTGAAATTTAAATACAGTGGAAACAGGATGAGTAATAACTGAACTGCCCTAAATATGTTCAAGTCGAAGCAATGTTTAACTTCCGTGCTCGCCCCCCCACAAAAAATCGGTTTATCAAAATGACGGTTATTCCCCTGACACCGCTATTAGTGTATACACTTTTGACTCCCTCGTCAATGTTTATTTACAAGATTATAAAAATATGTGAACCATTAAAAGTACAATGCGATATTTACCTTTCATAAAAATAAATTTGAAAGAAATATTTTTATTCAATTTTTTTTTAAATTATCAAAATAAACGAACTACAATAAACAACTGTGAAAGCAAGATTTTTTTTCTAATAAATAGTGTTTAATTCTCAATCGTTGTCAATTCTCAAGAATAAAGAAAATGTATAGATCCACTTTCATAGTTTTGGGTTTTAAAATTCTAACCCTCACTTTTTAAAACAATTTGAATTAACCTTGCCGTGTGAGTCAAAAAGTGTACAGCAAAAGAGGTGTCAAGGCAATAAATGTCCTTCTCGTTATGTGTTTATTAAAATTATCTTAAGACATTTTTATAAATTTATGAATAAAAAAACTTCTTTTCCTATTTCTTTCTTTTATAGAATGGTAAATAAATATTTCATTACAGTTGGTTCACATACATTTAAAATACTGTTTAATATCTTTCTCAAAAATAAAGAAAAGATAAATCCACTTTTATATGTCTTCTTAGTTTTATTAAAATTCTAATCATCGCTTTTTAAAACAATAAACATTGCCAAGAGAGTCAAACTCAAACAAAACTCAAAAGTATAGTGTCAAGGGAATAACTTATTTTGACACACGTTGTTATTTTTTTTTTTGTTTTGTTATATTTTTTATTTATTTATTCATTTATTCATTTATTTTTTTTTGTGGTCATAAGTGTTAAATATTGCCCCAGTCGAGATATCCTTAGACATGCAAAATGGAACGAGAATAGTACTCCAATATTAAATAAAGGTACCAATATTAAGAGACCTAAAAAAAAAAAAAAAAAAGATTACTTGGTTACTTATTTTAGTACATCATTTTACTTACAATTATTGTCACGTGACGCAAAAAATAGTGCACTATTTCAACAAATTAGCCGTAAATGATCAACAGTGCTATTTTTTAATTGTCATTTATTGCCAACTAACACTGGTATCTAAATAGCGAAATAATCGTTCTAAGTAACGCGGTTAATCAAAATAAGTGCTGCGTAAATTGTTGCGTTTAAAAATAAAGGGTTCAACTTAGAAATTCCCTGAAACTAAGTTACTATGTATCAACAGACCCCCCTGAAGGATGCTGGAAAGCAGAACGGCCGAAACATGGTAAAGATGGGGACATTAAGCCTGAGAATGTAAATTGTAAAAAAAAAAAAAAAAGATTAATTAATTGTTCTGGCCTTGTAAGCGTATATAAGTGTAAATCTATTCTATACGTGATCGAGAGAGAGGGAGATATCAGTTTGCAATTAAATTTAATTTATTTGGTGTAAGCGTACACCATAAAAAAGCATTCCTTCCTGGGCACACAACAGTCATTGTGCAGTGGTTAGCGTGCTGGTTTCATAAGCCAAATCATGAGTGTTTCCCTCCTCCTCTGCTGCACTGAGATTTCGGGAACGACATTTTTGTGCTAAATCTGCTTCGATTTCGCAAAATGAAACCGACACACACGCATTTTAAGCTAAAGTTTTTACAGTACAGCAACATTTAATCAAATACATCAAGTTTCGCTTTCTTTTTTGTGTGTGCGTCTTTGCGTATGCATTTATGGCCGTATAGAATGTTTATACACACTTTGAGCGCTTCTACTCTTTCCTTTCTTTCTTTGAGACCGTCACACAATGTTTCTTACTTTCTACCTCTCTCTCTCTGTCTGTAACATTCACAAAGCAAGTAAAAATTTGCACTAGGCATATGGCACATTGTGACTATTTCTAGTTCTCTTTCACCAACAAACAGCATTATAAAAAAAAAAAAAGGAAAGAAAAATCCTAATAAAAAAAATATATGTATCGAGGGACAGCCCGCTGTTCTCGGTGGGATAAATTGCACACCCGGAGTTTTCTCTCTGACTCACGACGGCACTCACTTTTATGATCGCACCCTGCTAATAAAAATAATAATAATAATGATGATAATAATAATATTTAAAAAAAAATATAGGGAAAAAGATGTTCATGAACGATGCATAACACTTTTCACATGTCCCTATTATTGGTGGTGATTTTTAAATTTTACAACTTTTCACGGAAGAAGAAGTGAACTCGAGCTTTTTATGTAAACTTTGCTTTCAAAATGAAACTTTTTTTTTGTTTGTTTTTTTTATAGATTACTTTGTTTCCTTACTTTTTTTCGGATTCTTGTGTGTGTATATTTTATTTTTATTCTTTTAGTTTTTTATTTCATTTCCTTTTCTTTCTATCTTTTAAAACTTGAAAATTTTGAGAGATTCGTAAAGAAAGAAACTTTTTTCATTCTTTTTTTCGTAACGTAACTACCAACTTAAAAGTAAAAGAAAGAAAAATAAGAAAATGAAAGAATTTATTTTTCTAAGACGAGGACAGACTTTAAAGAATAAGCTGATAAAATAAAATATAAAATTTTCCTTGGCATCCGAATTCGCTTTCTCTCTGTTTCGTCTCTACCTTTTTTTTTTATTCCTAAAAGACAGACCTGTCGCCAGGTATGGCGGGGTGGCTGACACTCCACTCCGAAATCATTTGTTTCCTTGTGAAAATTTATGGGAAAATTCTTATTCACCCCTTCTTGACTTAGAGGTTGTACCCTAAAAATACCCTGGCGACAGGTTTAAAAACTACATAATTCACTCACAAGAAAATCCGGGACTTTTCATCTATATGTCAAAACAAAACAAAAGAAATAGCATTAATTTTCTTCTTTCTAAATAAATTCGTTTAATAAGTTTTAAAATTTGTTGCAGTTTCCTTGTCAATGAAAACTTTAAAAAAAATGTTGCGATTTATAGTCTGTTCGGCATAAGTAACACTCGCCAACTCAAGTTGTGAAATTACATTTTTTTTTTTTAATTTAAGTAATTAATTCTCTTTGAGTTTAATAAATAATAGTAGAGAATCTGTGATACTCAGGAGATATGAACTCATGCCTATGAGTTGATTACGGAGTCTGGCAATAACATTCTTACCCTCACTGATCGATTATTTAAATCGATCTCTCAAACTTAACAAACAGACGAATGTTTCGATTTTAAATGTGTTTAAATAAACAAACACACACACACATCTGGAATCTTTCTTAAAGAGACCCATCATTTTTTTTTTTCAGTTTTACTTTAGTTTTTCTTTTTACATAACATCATTTTTTAACCATATTATTTTTTTTACTAGTCTTAGTGGTGTTTTATCACAACGTTCGTAAAAAATGGATGTACTTTGATATATGGCACAAGGGCATTTTAAAAACTGTGCGGCTACACGCGTACGTCGAGTGAGGAACAGAAACTGTCCACTTCCCAGTGGACGGATCTTCTGTTATTTGACATGCTTACTGGACCTAGACGACAGAGGACCAGCAGGCGGATGAGGTGGGGTTTATGATCTGCAGTATGAATCAAAAAGGAGATCAGAAATAAAGTAGTCTTCGACCGATGAGAGGAAACTACTTTTTGGTTGTAAGTAACACAACAGCGAAGAAAATATAGTAATTTAAAAAAAAAATAATCCAGCTTAAAAATTGAGACAAATTAATAATTCATATTATTACTGTTTCGTTTACAAGGGCAGCCCATGTAGATCAATGGACTGAACTCGTAGAAAACCGAGGTTTCATCCCTCATGTTACCTACGGCTCACCAGGTGGAAGAAATACATATTGGCCATCTGAAAAAAGATAAGCAATAATAATAATAAAACGACAAAGAAAAATTACCTTCTCAAAGAACAGCATTGCCATCATAAAAATATGTTAAACTAAAGAGACGAAAATAAAATGAGGATATTAAAATTGAAAAAAAAAATGTGGCACCTTAAAACTAAGGTTATACCAGTAATAATTAGAGTACTGGGTACAATAAAAATATACAGACAAAAACATTTTACAAGATCCCAGCAAGCCCTAGCTTACTAGAGATTCAAACAAAAAATTGCACTGTGTGGCTTAGCTTATCTATTCTGGAGTGCATTTAACATTGTGTGTGTGTATATATATATATATATATATATATATTCAGTTGTATGGATAGGAGTTTGTGACCTTGGGTTTCAAGCGTGAAACCCAGGTCACAAACTCATATCCATACAACTGAATATGTTAGCTCTATCACTGATATTGAGCACTTTCCATTAAGTATAATATATATATATATAATATATATATATATATATGGAATATTAGTGTTTAAGCCTTTTTATTATATCCTTTTGTCCTAGACATTGAGTTCTACCTGGATCCTTCCTCTTGGAAAATTTTTTCTGAAAATATACATGTATGGGAATTTTTAGAATTTTTAGATATATTTTTAATATATATATATATATTTATATATATATATATATATATATATATATATATATATATATATATATATATAAATAAATAAAAATTTTCAAGAGAATAGAATCCAGGTAGAACTCAATGTCCAGGACAGAGTAAAATAATATAAAAGGCTCAAGCACTAATATTCCATGTTTATAATTTATTACATTGGAATTGTAATCACGATCCAATTCATCAGTCCTTTGAATTTGTAGGTCTGATGAATTGGATCGTGATTACGATTCCAATGTAATAAATTATAAACATGGAATATTAGTGTTTGAGCCTTATACATAAACAAGCACTGTACATGTTAAGTATCACATCAGAATTTCTGCAGATATTTGCTACGTTGACTTGCTGTAGGTCATGGATAAAAACGCGGATTGTTTGATCAAAACCTTGTCACTATATCGCTCACATTTCATGTAATTTGCCTGGTACACACTAATAATCAAACTGGGTGTCATGCCGGGTACATTGGGCTTCGTATTTGTACCCCAGCATCGATTTGTTGACATACTGCTCTCTCACGCAAAAATAATAATGATGCCCTTGCTTTAAAAAAAGCACACATTCTTCATGTAATTGTATTCACATGTCATACATGCCACCCTCCTCCACACAAATGATTCCTCACACACACGTCTCCCTCACCCACACACACAGGGGTCCAGATTTTGGTTACTTGTTCACTTCGCAATAATACCCATGGAAAAGGCATGAATCCACTTCACCTAGCACTCTGTCTCATCGCTAGATATCTTGCTAAAACTCAAATAGTTCGGCACTAGCATGCCAAATCACAATGAATGATGGAAACGAAAAGAACGAGTGAGTTAACACTTGGACAAACCACTCCCCCATAATTAACTTTCCTGTCTCGATAATTAAAGATAATTAAAAAAAATGCAGTTGCTATATTTATGGGAGAAGGGTGTTCCGTATGGGGGTTAGAGTTTGGTTGAATCGTGAAACTGAAAGTCACTTTGTCCACGATATCTATCTATCTATCTATCTATCTATCACCAAAATGGACACGGTTTTTTCGAAATTGAAGCAAAAAATCGTTATCTGCTGCTTTTAAAAATTTTTCAAAAGCAAGAAATTATCCGATTTAAACGGAATGTTTCTGTATTTATTCATTAATGAATGAATTGGACACTGGATAGGTCATTTTATTAGAAAACCTTGTGAAAATATTTTTTGTTTTTGTTTGGTCCGTCTCACCACTACTACGCCAGTTCGATATATTTGGATGTTTTGCGAAATATTTTTACAGTTATATAAAGAAATATCCATAAAGATGTTATACTTGAAAAAAAAAAAAAAAATTATGCAATATCAAGTGTGAAAATACTGAAATTTCGTCCCGAAAATTACCAAAAATAATTCAACAGAGTTCAAAAAAAATATTTTTTTAGAGTTGGTGATTATATAATTTAAAAGTAAAACACATCGGAAAAAAATGTGTATTGAATATTTTTAAAAAAATTGACTTGTAATTTTCAGTGCGATTTCGAAATTTATCTCGTCGATGTTCGTAACAAGAATTTTTTTTTTATTATGAAAACAAACTGTGTAAATTTTAATGCCATTTTCGAGTGTGAAACTTTTTTATAAGATTTTTTTTTCATTTTTTCAATAGTCAGATTATTTTTTTGTACGGAACTTCAAAAAGGAAATAATTTTGAATTATCACCTTCCCTATCGGAAGAGTAATAAGATATATGGTAATTCAATAACTCTTAAATTCAGAATAATTAAAAAGGCCTTATTGGGTGCAACTAAATATGACATCAAACAGGTAAGAAAATAATAAAAAAAAAAATTAAAACAATGAATTAAAATGAAAAAATCATTTTACTAATTTTTTTATTAATTTCTTTTTTTTATACTCCTAATGTAAAATAAAAAAAAAATATTCATTCTACTAAGTTTCGTAAAAGCGTATAGAATAAAATATATTCTTAAACTATTGGCCATATCAGAAAGATAATTCATTTTTTAACATAAGAAAAACAATTTCTTGATTATTGCACTGCTGCTGTTCCATATTTCTTTAATTATTTGTAATTTTCGCGCGCTTTTTAAGAGTCAGATAACAGTAGAAAACTACTGTTGTTGACCGATGTCATCACAGGATACTGTGCGTAAAGCAACAAGTAAGCATTAGTTTTACACAAAATCCTGTAAGTAAATCCTTAAATTTACTACAAATATTGGATCTTAATCATAAAGATTTTTAAATTTGTTGTTTACATTTTTCATCTATAATTTTAATGACGAGCTGAACGAGCCAATGTTTTAAAAATGTCTAAAAACTTTATTTACATACGGAATTTTTTTTATACGGTTCAGCGTAAAGCTATTATCTTTTGTAATAAAACCAAAATTTAATTTAAAAGATGTCATTTAAATTATTCAAAATGCGTTTTTCATTTTTTTATTTTTTTTTTATTTTTTTATTTTTTTTTACGAAATTCATGGTGATCCCTCTCTGTGTGTACGTTTACCTTCCACATATTTGCACGTACCCGAGATATGCTTAATTTATGGGTAAGTTTTAAAGTGTCTCTCATGTCCTTAAGGACAATATTTACATAATTACAAGGAGAAGTATCGATGAAGTGCGTATACGTTCTTTAAAAATGCACATATAATAATACACACTGTATAAACTACATAGATACATATGGCAACTGTTAGCGAGCTCATCTGTACGGTAATTTCTACTAAGTAGTGAGTTCGATTCTCATTGAGTACTCTCTGATATTTTGGCCTTTTGCCAAGCTAAGCTTAGTAAATAAAAGTTTCCTTATTGCACTGAAGCATGTGCAGAAAAATAAAACCGATACAGTCTGTCCATATTTATATACAGGAGACAAGAGAAAGAAATCAAAATTCACATTGCAAACTAAAATTGTCTTCTGTCTCTGTCCGTCTCTACAGATAATGCAGCGTTTTGTTTTGTTTTTTTTTGTTTTTTTGTTTTGTTTTTTTCGTTAACTACACTGGCAACATTCCAAATGTTACATACTTAAGTATTTACCCGCTATCGACTTTTGAAAAATCAGTTTAGTGTAGAATAAAAGACTGAAAGAATCATAATGCCATCATCCACAATTCTAGAGAGAGAGAAAGCTTTTTGTACTTTTTTAACCATATATTTTTACATCGCTGCTAAGTTTGAGAGTTGTCCACCATCTTTTTATTTATTTATTTATTAACGAAATAAAGTTCATTATAGTTCATGGGATTTACTTACTTTAACTCACCTTATTTCTAGCGTTTTATTGATTTAAAAAACCATTAATTTTTTTTCTCCCTTCCCGACATTCATTTTTTGTTTTCTCTTTTTTAATTCCATGGATATAACAAAAAAAACTCGTTTCTTTTTCTTAAATTTGGATTCTGTCTTTTTATACTGGCTAAACTCGGATCATAATAGAATTTCTTTCGCAACTTTCTTTCATTGAAATCGCAAGTTTTGAACTTTTCAGTGATTTAAAAGAAAACGAAGGCTAACTTTTTTATTTTATTTTATTTTTTTTTTATTTGTTTAACTAGGAGTTTTTGTCTCCAAGAAAATGTTTTTCCCTTTTTTAAGATGTTTAAAAGGATTATCTATCTATCTATCTATCAAAATTGGTTAGATTTAAAAGTGCTCAGTATTGGAGATAGTAGTTTATAGATATAGACAGTAGTATGAACATAGGAATCAACACAGCATGATGTCTGTCAGTTTTACACTTCAGTGCGATCTTGGTCTGAAAATCGCATTGAAGCGTGAAAATAAATACATGCAGTTTTGATTTCTATGTCCTCTCTCTCTCTCTCCGCCTCTCTCTCTCTCATGCACACACACACACACACACACACACACACACACACACACACACACACACACACATACACACAAGAGGAAAACCTTTTTATGCCAACGTGGTTCATTTCTTGAAGAAGTTTACAAAGGGATTTGTCTGTGTATATAAAAAGTTGTTGTTTTTTTTTCAATAAAATTTCTGCATTTATCTTAATAAACCGCGTTGACATAAAATGTTTTTCCTATTGTCACGTCTTTTATTGTCTTGTGTCTTTGTGTATATATATATATATATATATATATATATATATATATATATGTGTGTGTGTGTGTGTATACATTTCTGTATTTAGGCAGCAATCCTTCTTTCATGCACGTTTCATTGAATATGGCAGACAAGGTGCTTTCATTTAGTTTTTTATACAATTTCTCATATGATCTTATAGGTTTTTTTTCTTTTCAGTAGATAAATTATATAAAAACTGTCCAATTTTTCTTTTTTTTTTTTTTTACCGAGAAATAGATTGTTGTATATGTATATATATTTAATGTTTTCATTTTAAAAACACGGTCAAGATATATTTTATTAAATAAAAAATTTGCGCGCTCCGACGGGATTCGAACCTGCGTCTTCCAAGGCAGAGTGAGCAACCGTTAGTTGGTTAGAACGTACCGGGTAGCTCCATGTTTCCTGTGGAACGCAGGTTCAAATCTTGCCGAAGAGCGCCAATGTTGCTTTAATAAAATTCCTAGAACATATAAGAAATATAAAATTATTAATAAAATTCCTAGAACATATAAGAAATATACTTTTTTACTAAACAAACGGAATATCTACTCAAATATGAGTATCCACTAAAAATTACGTTTAAAGTGATATATTTGTGTATTTAGGCAGTAATCCTTCTTTCATGCACATTTCATTGAAAACGACAGACAAGGTGCTTTTAGCTTTTATTTATTTTTTTTTATAGAAATTTCTCATGCGATCTAATAATTTTTTTCTTTTCGGATGATAAATTATATAAAAACTGTCCGAATGTTCTTTTTATCCCAGCGCTTTCGGATATACATTTAGCCATTTTCAATGATTGTATTTTAACAGAACTGTTAAAATAAGAAATAGTTTGTTGTATGTATGTTTTATAAAATGTTTTCATTTTTGTTTGTTGTTTCAAAACACGGACAAGAAAACATACATACAACAAACTATTTCTTATTTTAACAGTTAAAAATATAATCCTTGAAAATGGCAAAATGTATAGCCAAAAAGCGCTGATAAACGAATATTCGATAGTTTTATATAATTTATCATCCGAAAAGAAAAAATTATTAGATCGCATGAGAAATTGTATAAAAAAAAAATAAAAGCACCTTTGTCTGTCGCTTTCAATGAAATATATATATATATATATATATATATATATATATATATATATAACGATTAGCAAATGGAAGGGCCTAGAGTAAAAAGATTGTGAAGAGGGGGTTGGAATTTCCCTGTTTTTCCTAGAAAATCAGCAAACTAAATCTTGGCTTTATTTTTTTACTTGTGCTCGAACCCTAACCACTGGTAATTGTTGAAAATATTGTAAGTGTTTTAGCTCCGAGATAGGCCCATGAAATATTAACCTTTTTAAGACTGAATTTATTTTAAAATTTCGCCAGTACGAAGCTGCCTCAAATATAAATTCTATTTGTGAACTATTTGTACCAAATAACCCCTTCTTGGTAAGTATACTTAGGCTATATACTGGAGGTAACTTTTACTCATGAATACCTGGTTTGGGTCATTTCCATGGACACCAAATGCAATAAAATCGTCAAAAGTGTTAAATATATTCGAAATATAATACTATGTTAGTTACATATTATGTTATAATGTGTATTTTGCTCTTGAACTTGGCCTACTGTTAATGCTTGACATTCAAGTCGTTATTGAAAATAAATGTATCTATTTCCACTTCTTCAAAAATCAAACTTCTTATCTGAATCAAGTATGGCCAACAAGACCTTACTCACATTACTGATTCTATGTCTGGCTCTCATAGTATCGAAATTCAATCATCACTTGAAACCTCTAAGTCAATTGCTAATTTGGAAATACGCTGCTACTACGACAATGAATCCACCATGTTGCTCAAAGTGATTCAATAATGTATACCCCTCTACGGCCAGTTCGTATAAGATTCAGTCCCTATAAGTAAACCGCCAGGTCTAACCGCTCTATAAAGGGTTTATTTGTATTCGTTTCTACCAAGTTACACTTGTAGTATCTGTTGTGAATATGGATTATCTCCCCCTTGATAATCCAACTATAAAAGCTATACATTTCCGTTTGTCAGGAAGACTAGTAGGAGCATTCTTAATTGAATAAACGATTACTAGACAGAATCTCTTGTCCTGTTTTCATTACAGTATCATTCAAATTAAAGTAAATTGATAAGTTTATGGGTTAGATATGAAGGATAAAAACAGAAAGAGAGACATTTTTATTTAATTTGATAATAATATACGTTTAAATTTTCATAAGAAATCTCATTAGTAAGGTTCTTCCTTTAGGTATCTATTGTAATGTGTTAGCAAAAATATTCGTTCTATTTAATAGGTTAAGACATTTTTAAATTGTCATTATTGAACAACATATTTAGCGTTTTGTTACACAATCTTCAGTCATATTTCATACAACCTTATATGTCCATCTTCTAAGAATTGTTTAACTTTCCGAGCAAAGAACCAAACAAACAATATATACCCTTATATACCAGATACCCTTTATTTCGCTCCCTGTGGTAGACTGTTCTAGTTCCACACGCCATGTCTAATGGATGTCAGTTATCCCCTGTTAATTCCCCTCTCCAAGTTCTCCACCACCGTAACCAGGTATTGAACTCACACTCTTTGGGTCCTGTCACTGGATCTAACTAACGCCTTTATCCACTGTGAGGACACATGTCACAGCGAAATAAAAGGTTCAGTTCGACATTCGAACCACCTAAAGAAGGCCGGAGCGTACAACGACCGAAATGTGATAAATACGGCAACAAAGATGAGGATGATAGTCCGAGCAATGTAAATAGAGATTCGTGTTTATCTGAAAATGAAGACAATATTGTGTATAACACTTATGTACAATCTGCAGAGATTTTACAAATAAACAAATGTACTGATTTGGAAATGTGTGTTGCGGTTATCTTTTTAAGTGAGGTCTCTTTATTTTTTAACTTGACCGTGTAAATTAGAAATGAATGCGACCAACATAATCAAATTGGTGCAAATGATTTCAAGTGCTTGATTCTTTAATACTTTTAGTACATTCACTATCTCCAATAATGTTTTAGACCGTTGAGCATTCCCAATTTCTTGATTTGTTATTAATCTTAATTGATCATCAAAACTGTTCAGTGAGAAATCTTCAACATGAATCTTTGCAAATTATTTTTAACACTTTATATTCACAGTACCTTCTCTAAATTGTACAAATGTTTTTTTTTTGTTTTTTTTGTGTACGTTTACCTTTCTTAAAATAAAAACATGTCGAAATTGTTGCTTATTTTCTTCCGTCTTCAATGTCTGAATCCATATACAAAAATGCACCAATTTTGACAAAAGTATTTAAATCTGTCTATATTTCTGAGATGAGGTATTATGTACACTATTTACATTATTCGGACTATTGTCCTCATCTTTGTCGCGATATTTATCACAACGTTTCAGCCGTTGTACGCTCCGGCCTTCTTCAGATGGTTGGAATGTCGAACTGAACCCTTTATTTCGCTCACTGGGGTGGGCTGTTCTTGTTCCATGTGCCATGTCTAATGGATGTCAGTTATCAGTTATCCTGCTTAATTAATTCCCTCTCCACTGCCTTGACCAGGTATTGAAATCACACTGTTTGGGTTCTCAAGGACACATGGCACAGTGGATAAAGGCGTTGGTTAGATCCAGTGACAGGACCCAAAGAGCGTGAGTTCAATACCCGGCTTAGGCAGTGGAGAACTTTCAGAGGGAAAATCAGCAGGAGATAACTGATAACTGACATCCATCAAACATGGCACGTGGAACTAGAACAGTCTACCCCAGTGATCGAAATAAAGGGTTCAGTTCGACATTCCAACCACCTGAAGAAGGCCGGGGCGTACAACGGCCGAAATGTTGTGATAAATATAGCGACAAAGATGAGGAAAATAGTCCGAATAATGTAAATAAAGTATTTAAATGTATGTTATAAAAGTTGTCATACTACGTCCAAATGCGATCTTTTTTTATGAACTTAATTAAAACTAAAGACACCTGAAGCCAGTCAGGACAAAACTGAAAGACATTTTGGGCAACCTCAAACCTACCCATCACTTTCTGCTGACATCTATTTTATCTATCTTTCTATCCGACATATTTTTTTTATGAAGCCGACGATACCCATGATGGACTGTCTAACAGGGTTAAACGACCTGCTATTTACCCATAGCTGAATATGAGGAAGAATTGGATTTATGCTTTATCCAAAGGCAGTGCTGGGGAGAGAATTTCTGAGGTCCGGCACTCAGACTATTTGAGCACCACCACCCTTCATAAAAATAAAGCTCTAGTTAGATAGCTATACATATTTTCAATATTCAAACGAATAAAAAAAGTATCAATGCACAACAATGTTTCAAGACCGCCTTGGCAACCCTTGCAATCGGGTGTGATTTGGCACGAGAATTAGACTTTGAGGAACTCATCGCGCATTCAATGAAAGTTTGAAAAATGAACTTTTAAGCTGTTTGGAACTGGTTTTAGTTTTCGTATTTTTTCAATAAAATACCGATTCGTAATTTTGCTCTCTTCTTTTTGTAAAGAAGCCAGTCTCCCCCCCCCCCACAAACCCCTAAAGGTATTTTCTTGATGCCCCTCGGATTTTTAGGATCGGCACATTTGTGGCGGCTGACCCCACCACTCTCGACGCCACTGCCCAAAGGCAAGAGTACGAAGTGGGTACATACTTTGGAACTCGATTCGACAGTTCCATTCTCTAGATAAGTAACTGTTGGGCCACCCACACTTCCTCTGTTAATGTAAACTGCTATTACAACTATTTCTTCTTCTATAAGCAGTGTCCCTTCAGGACTTGAGTGATCATGACTTTTTCACAAATTCCTATCCTTTTGTAGCAATAAGCAAAGTTCGTTCCCTTACCATCCCATCCTGTTCTGCCACCCATTTATACAAGATTATTAAATAAATCATGCGCTTCTTTTCTCGGTCCTTTTGGCCTTAGATATGTCCTCTGAGTGTCAAATACACCCAGCCCTCTTTCTTCATTATGTCTCTGAAATTCCAATTGTTATTTTCTGGTTCTAAGCACCAGTGTCTTTTTCATCTCCATTTTCCTAAGAACTTCTTCGTTCTGTCCATGGTATTATTAGTATTGTTCTGTAGAACCAGATAGACTAATTTAAAAATAATACTTGTCTATTCGAGTAAATTATCTTAGTGGCACATCGCAACATTCTCTTTTAGAACTTGAAAACTATAAATAACTGAAGCTTGATGCCGGAGGATCCATTTCCTAGGCAGCGCCTCCCCATAACCGAAGTAAATAGGCAATTACTGGAGCGCTTAATGTAATTTGCGAAATTGAATCGCATGCCATATCAGGTGGCGCTATACAGTCTCTCCCACATGGAGGTGACAGACATTGCAATAATTCTCTCTTTTTTTTTTTTTAGCATTACACCCCAATCAAGGTGGGAGTGCCACTAGCACGCAATGGATTACAGAGAGTGAGAGCAAGAGTAAAGAGGCATGATAGAGGAAAGGATGAAGAGAAGGACAGGGAATAGATCAAGGCATTTGAAGATGTCAAAACATTGCATTCGAATATTTGGAGATTATATCTATCAGAGAAGCAAGTAAGAGGAAGGGAGTTCCACAGACGGGAAGTGTGAGACATAAAACGATTGTAGTAGAAGAGACAGCTATATTTAACCGCTTCGACAGTGAAAGGGTGGGGCTGAGATGCCAACCTGGTAACACATTTAAATTCATGCAGTTTGGGAACCAGCGAAAGTAGCTCGTCGGAGCAGCTACTGTGAAAGTATTTGTAGAAAAGACAGAGGGAAGCGACGGCACGTTTGTGAGAGAGCGACTGTAAACGAGATGCCAGATCAGGGCCAATCTCATTGCATATCAGTCTCTGGATTTTTTTTTTTTTTACCTTGTAAGTGTTGAATCAGTTTCTTTGTTATCATCATTATTATTATTGAGTGAGAAAATAGTACACTAACAAAGTAACGCTGGAGCACAAATATACCTATTATGATGACGAGTCTGATAAGGGTTATACAAGGCAGATGCCTCACAGTTAAATGTGCGCGATATGGTACAGTGTAACCCGGATATAAGAGAGTTGTCGGGACCGGAGAAGAAGTCTCTTATATCCGGGTTTCTCTTATATCCGGGTTTGGTCTATTTTATATACATTAACACAGGCTCTAATTTGGGACCAGAGAAAATCTCTCTTATATCCGGGTTTCTCTTATATCCGGGTTACACTGTATCAGGTGTTTTATAAAAGCCACGCATAACCTTATAGTTAAAAATTATTTCAGGTCGGGTATGATCCACCCAGACAATCTTCAATTGAGGATGTTTCCAAGTATCTAGATGTGACTTTAAAGTTGCCTTGGCTGCATCATGCTTCAGACTTTAAAGGACAACTATCTTGACCATCGACCAAAATTATGCTCTCCCACTCTTACGATTTATTCTTCAGTTTTTATCGCAACTTCTAAAACTGTCTTTCTACGATTGTCAGGAAGCAACGTAGACTGGAATAATCTTCCGATAAAACTCGGACGTTTTTCATTGGGAAGTCGAAGGTGACAGCTGCCATACCGATTAGATCACGGAAAGTAACTGCTTACAATAACTCGATTCTAACCATATAGCTTTAATTCTTTTTCTCTGAATGCACAGTTTATTGCCATCTTTAATCTTTACAAAAACTCGTAGTACAATTTGTAATTAATTACTTGTAACTGACATTAAATTAGTTTACTCATCATTCTCTTTGCATTCCATCGATGAGAAGTTCCACTCAAACGGCTTCTTTCCGCAAACCACTGCCCTGTGGAACAGACTCCCAAGATGATGTTTCCCCAATCTTAACCTGTTCAAGTCTAGAGTCAACAGTATCTTCCCTTCCTATCCGTATAAACTACTACTTAAACGTAACCCTCTACCTCAAGTGGTCCCTAGGCCTTGTCCAGGGTGAACCTTACTGTGTAATAAAAAAAAAAAAAAAAAGTGAGAAATTTCGCGAGTTGTTCGGAATTTGAACTTGGCCCACAGGTTTCTCTTTCCGAGTTGCTAAACGTTGTATTTTCATACATCCTCATTGGGGTGGGTGACGTAAATGAGGGCCATGTAATTATTAAAACAGAAAAAGCTAAGGGTCAAACCCAAACAGAATACACAACTTTAACTCCATCAAGCATCTCAAAATGTTGCGAAGCATTGTTTTGGCAATCCCTGCGGCCAAACTGATACCAAATATACCGGTTCTCCGTTCCTATTAGGGAGGCCAGGAAGTAGGGGTGGGTGCTTGCTGCCTGGGTAACACAAGGGGGGCTTCTATACACGTTGCCTAGGCTTCTTGAGTTCTGCAGAGGAATCTCCAGCTTCATTGTGTGGTGGGGCAAAATGTGAGAAGCTAGCAGTGAAAGTTTATAAACCCTTTTTTTTCAAATGGCGTAGATACTGACACCAGGAGTTACCTCCGACAATGGCGAATATTACTGGATGATACTTACGTGTAGCATCAAACAAAATAATAACCAATAAATAAGTCAATATCTTGATTTTGACCTATGAGTAGCAAATATCTGCCATATATCCGTTTCTTTTTTTAGATAAAAATGCACTCTCCCCATTCGACATAAGTTAGTAGTTGATGTCGTTCTTCTAGCAGACCTCAATGAAATTGAAATACACTGATGAACTGAAATATATCTGGATGATGCCAGATAACTAGAGTTCAAAAAATTGTGGTAAATATGAAGGTGACAGTTATACCCCTTGTTATCGGAGCACTTGGAAGAGTACAGAAGAAGCTTGCAATGGAAATGGAGGCACTGAAATGATACAAACTAAAAAACAAGAAAAATACTGAGGAGAGTGCTGGATTTTTTTTTTTATTTTTTAGGAGACTTGTTGTCACTTGATTACTAGTGTACAAGAATGACGAATGCGACAAATTGGAAAATTCAAAGATTAATGAAAGAAAAATATAAATAAATAATTAATTGTGATGTAAAATCGCAGGACATTTAAATAATGAAAAAAAATTAAAAAAACCTGAAAGACCGTGGAAATGAGGATAAGAAATTGGCATACGAGAAAGAAGATACTGCTCCCCAAAGACTATAGAGGCGAGACTAGAATAAATGGAGATCCAAAGAAAAGTTTATCAGATTGTCGGGTCAGTAAGTGAATACGGAGAGAGGAAACTACTGGAGATTTGAGGAAAAAAAAAGACGTACTGTCACTCGATCCCCCAACAACTTGCCAGGTCAGTGTTAGTAACATAAATAAATTTCAGCAAATGTATAAAATAAAATGTAACTTTATGCGAGAATGACTGATCTGTGCGACAGAAAAAAAATATTCAAAGACAAATATCCAACCATACATTGTTATTGCGTATGTATTTTCTTGTTTCGCTTGCTGTTTGTTTAGTTTCTTTTCTCTTTATTGCATGTGTGTATTTGTGTTTGGCAGAGATATAGTCATGGTCATTAAAACTAACAATAAGTAAGTAGAAAATATTAAAACTCCTACTATAGAGAGAGAGAGTAGGTAGAGTTTCTTTTCTTTTCTGAATTGAATAAAAAAGGTGTTTTTGAACAATACATTTTTTATTTTTTCCGGTTAACTAATAGAAAATAATAAACTAAACTCCCCCCCCCAAAAAAAACAGTTGTTTAAAAAGTTTATAATATCTAATTATTTATCCTTTATGGAAGAGTAGTAGATAGAATTAAAAAAAAAATTAAAAACTTTGAAAAAAGAAATTACCCATTGTCAAGTTCATTTGAAAGCTTCCGTTTTTCTTTCAATATCCACACAGATTGATTCTAGTTGGAAAATATCCGCGTTTCAGTGAAGGATTGGTTGAAAATAAAAGAGCCTCCCCTGAAAAACAGTTTTTGAAAGCTCATCACTGGTATAAACCCGGGTTTCTTCTTTTTTTTTTTTTTTCATCACAAGCAAGCCCTTCTCCATTATTAACGTAAATAATGGAATATTTATTCTTAATTTCTCTCTTCCTTTCTTTGTGCATACTAAGCTACTTTTTTAGTAAATATTGTGAAAAAATGTTTAAACTTTTTAAAAGAACTAAAAATTTTAACTTGTAGATTTTCTTAGGAATTAAAAATATAGTTTGCAAATTTGTTAATTTTTTTCTTTTATCTTAGATGTTAGATTTTTTTTCCATTTTTCAGTGCACATTTACCTTTTTTTCGGCGTTGTGTAGTGGTTGCAAGCTTGTCTCGCTAGATCAGTCACGACTGAGTAGTAAGTTCGATCCTCACTGGGTGCTACATACTTTCGGCTTTTTGTGCCAGATCGAAGTTATGCTTAGTAAATCACTATATTTCCATCTCTTTTTTCTAATCTTATTCCAAGCATTATCGTTTTCTTACACATAAAAAATAAATAAGTTGATAGTTTGAAGAAGTTGGAAAAATTCATACATTTTTTTTTTAGTCTGAGTTACACCCTTTTCATATCTGATTCTGCATTTTTTCCAAAAGACTTCAACATCCTATTGTTTCCGATTTTGTTTATTGTTGAAGATATTTTTTTTTTCCCCAATGAAAATATTTTGAATTTAAATTAATAATGGCTTCTTATATTTTTTTTTACTCCAACCAAGGCGATAATGCCACTTGGAATTACTGGGAATGAAAGTGAATTTGAAGACTTTGGTGTGAAGAAAGAACTCTAAAAAGGATTCAGGAAAATAGAGGATAATAACTAGCGTTGCATTTAAATTTTTGAAGATTGTAGATTACAAGAAATCGGATGTAGGTTTCACGTATTGATTGATTGATTCGTTTTTTATATTTTATCAATCCTTTGTCAGTTATTTACAGCCCTAGATACTTTACAAGTTTTACTACTTAACCCATATCTGGGTTGGAGAAGATATGGATTCATACTACACAGTGTAACCCGGATATAAGAGAGTTGTCGGGACCGGAGAAGAAGTCTCTTATATCCGGGTTTCTCTTATATCCGGGTTTGGTCTATTTTATATACATTAACACAGGCTCTAATTTGGGACCAGAGAAAATCTCTCTTATATCCGGGTTACACTGTATATAGTTTTCCCAAGGATATTGCTCACAAGTGACTACACCGAACCCAACCGGAATCTCTGATTAATAATTCCGAACCATTACCCATTTATACCACCTGCACATCCAAGTTTACAGCACCTGATATTCTCCAGCGGTCAGCCATAAGCGGTGATAATTCTAGAACTCTGAAAGTGTGTGATTGGCACTTGGGGTCCGAGATTTTTCTGCGGAGGAGGAAGGGGGGTGGCGGGCAAATTCAAGCAACGTCTTTATTTTTATACTACATCACTTACACAACTTAGGAATGAGTTTTAGTATGTTACTTCACTTAAACGGAATAAATTTTCATTCATACTAGTGGAGTTCTAATATATTCTTACTCTCTTTTCCACTCTCAAGCTGGTGGACCACAAGAGACATTAATTTCAAAACAAAATCAAAGGGTTAATTAATAATACTAACGTCAAATGGTTAATAATACTAGTAAAACAGTGTAATTTGTTTGCTCTGATTTTTTTCCCTCTACAAAACTTAGAAAAGCCGAAGGGCCAGCCAAAATTAGAGGTGGGGCACTGGCCTCTTCCCCCCCTCCCCGAATAGCCACTGGCCATAAGTCTTGTCTTGATGTTGCTTAACTTTGGTAATCGTACGGGAACCGGCGTTTTCGACGTGAGGTGTCCGTAAGCCGAACATTCCACAGCCGCTATAATTTCTAAGGAATCAATTGATTTTTTTTTTATCCAATATTATTTCCTGATACACTAGACGTTATTTTGTGGCTACCCATGTTTGACAAGACGCCCCGTATTTTTAAAATTGTGTGAATTACGTCTAATGATACACGCATTCGAGAGATTGATACTTTTTGGCAAGGTTCGAACATGCGTACTCCTTAGTAGGAAAAACCACCGTCTTATCCGGCATACTTTAGAGCGCTCAGTTACAGAGAGCATCATAGCCAAACAATGTTCAGTTACCCTTTTGAAGAAGGAACATCCTCCTGTTCAGATCTCGAAAGCCCATATTTTCTCCTTTTTTTTCTTTCTTTTTTTTTTTGTATCCGAAATGTAAATAAAGTAAATTTCTAAGGAAACAATGGATTTTTTTTTAATCTGAATTTCTGGGATAAGGAGTTATCATTATTTACATTTATATTCGGACTACTGTCCTCATCTTTGTTGTTTTTATCACAACGTTTCGGCCGCTGTGCTCTCCGGCCTTTCTCAGATATATATCGATTTGGGTAACCAAAAGGGAATTCTGAACTGAACCATTTATTTAATCTACGGGGATAGACTGTTCTCGTTCTACTGCTCATGTCGAGAGATATCGTCTAGTCCTTATTAGTACTATTCAGTTATTGCTCACCTGTTTCCATTGAGTGCAAGTTCATACTGCTCGATCCAGGGATTTTTTTTATCCGACATTATTTCGTACAATGCCAGTTGAAACTTGCTGGGCTGTAAGATCTCTCTGTAGCCGAGCAGTCTAAAGCGGTGGTTTCTCTTACAAATTTTCTTTATTAAGTCTTTCGAATGCGCAGGCTGGTAGATATCATTCACACTATTTAAAAATAAAAAAATAGAACGTCTACTCTATGAGTAACCACAAAATATTCTACTCATGAGTAACCACAAAATAACGTTTGGAATAGTAAGAAAGTTATATGCAGCAAGAATTCAACGGACAAGGTAAGTCTGTTTAATTTTTTTTATTGTATTTCCCAATTTTTGAATAAGTTGTTGCACCTCCAGATATATATTGTGAATAATCTGTCGAAAGTTCATATTTTCATTCGAGTACTTTCGACCGTTATCAAGAATTCATAATTATCAATATTATAAACAAGAGGGTTCATGAGTGATGGGAAAACGGAAAGAGATATCTACAGACACTACCGCGTGGTCGGAGTTGCCAAGAGGACAGAGTTGCAGAGCACAACATGAGTTCGGGAAGTAGGGAAAGGAGAAGAGAAAAAGTAGAGAAGTGTGTCCGTCATAATTACTGGGAAAACGTGTATGGAAGTCTACTATTTGAGTGAGAGATTGATTTTAGTTTCTCTCTCTCTCACACAAATGGTTCAAGGTCTGGATGTCAGCAAGCTTAGTGGCAGTAAAGTGATAAAGCCACCTGTCATGGTAGGCATTGAAGTCACCAAACATAAAGATATGTTAGGTGCCATAAAAATGGATACTTTTTTACATCAATGAAAGTAAAAAAAATCAGGACTCCATGTTTTAAAATATTTGCCAAAAATTAATTCAAACGAAATTTTCTGAACTTAGGCAATAATTAATGCATATTCTCCTCAAGGACACATGGCACAGTGGATAAAGGCGTTGGTTAGATCCAGTGACAGGACCCAAAGTGTGTGAGTTCAATACCCGGTTAATAATACTAACGGTGGAGAACTTTTAGAGGGAAATTAACAGGAGATAACTGACATCCACCAAACATGGCACGTGGAACTAGAACAGTCTACCCCAGTGAGCGAAATAAAGTGTTCGGTTCGACATTCCAACCACCTGAAGAAGGCCGGAGCGTACAACGGCCTAAACGCTGTGATAGATATGGCGAAAAAGATGAGGACAATAGTTCGAATAATGTAAATAATGTGCATAATACCTCATCTCAGAAATATAGACAGACTCTGCTGAATCTATTACTTTATTAAATAAAACCGTGGTGAAATATCTTTTTAGGGTTATGATTCACTCCTCTTCTTCAATATCATTTGGGGGTGTTTGTCCAAATTCTTCAGTTATATAAAAAAGAAATTCCTGGAGATATTATTTTAGTAAAAACTTCATGCAATATCGAGTGTGAACATACGGAAAATTCGGCCCGTATCTTGCCAAAAATATTTCAATAAAACTGAAAAAATATTTTTTTAAGAATTAGTGCTTGTATAATTTAATAAAACACGTTTTCATCCAGATTCAGCAGAAGAAAAAGATCTAAAATTAATATTTATTTTTTTTAAAAATACTTGTAATTTTTCTGTGCAGTTTTGAAATTAATTCCTTTAATGTTCGTCACAGGAGTTTATTATTTTAGATAAAGACATGTTTGAAGATTTAAAAAATGTCAAATTTCATGTCATTTTTCGAATGTGAAGTTTTTAAAAAATAATTTTATATTATTTTTGGTATGGACGTACAAAAAGGAAACAATTCTGATACCTCGCATTGTCTGACTACTACTCAATATTGGAGGAGTATCTAATTAATTTAGTCTATTAATCTAATTTCATACCTACTGTTCAGTCAGTATAAAAATGAAATTATTCATAAGTCTTTTACAAAAATATATATATTTTTAAACTACTGGTTATATAAGGTTACAGAAAATTTAGTTTTAAACATAATAAATTCTTGATTATCGCACTGCTGGTCTTCCGTACTTTGTTTTAATTTTTACTTTTTCCTGGGTTTTTCAGACAGGGGTTGAATGATTATGTTTCTACTTTGTCCTTTGACTTCACAGGTTAGCGGGCGTAAATAAAACATTAATTTCATTCTGTTTTAAGTAAAATTTAAGTATTACTTTCAGAAAATCCACTTAAATTAATCCTTAAGTTTACTAATAGACTTCGAAACACATCTTCAGGACAAGTATTGGATTTTAAAGAGAATTTTAAATTTGTTGTTTACATTTTTTTTGTATAAAATGGCGACTCGATAATTGACGAAAAAAGTACAATGCCTAAAAGTTTATTTATACACAGAAATTAATTTTTCTTTTCATTCAGAGGCGGATCCGAGGGGATGGCGTGGAGGGTGTACACCCCCCCCCCACATACACACCCGCAAAATTTCTGAGAAATCGAATGATGCACTGAATGAGTGAAAGAAAACCGATTTAACTCGCTTGTTCTTTTGCATGTTCACAAAGACATTTAATTAGATGATAAAATCGTGAACTTCTATGCAAATAAGTATCCACAAAAGTTGACTTCAGTAAATCCTTTTTCATAAACGCTATATAATCACATTTTAAATCTAAAAGTTTGAATTTACAAATCAAATAAATCTCAAATATATATATGTGCGTGTGTGTTTGTGCATGTATGAACACTTTCTACTCATTTCTATATATATGTAGTTCCGGTTGGAATTTTGAACTGAACCCTTATTTCGTTTTCTAGTTCCACGTGCCATTCCGAATTTCTCAGTTATTTCCCTTTAACTTAACTCTCCAAGTTTTGGCTCACAATTGCTATTGATCTCTCAGCTTTTTAGGTCTAGTCACTGGATCTAATCAACGCCTTTATCCACTGGGCCATGTATCCTTGAGGACATCTGTGTATGAATTTTGAGGACATAAATCTAATGTCTCAGCAACCATTTTACCAGTGCTCATATTGCAATTTTTCTGTCATCATTATGCATTTTTTACCAGAGCTTATATTGCAATTTTTTGTTGTTATTCAATGCTTTTCTCTAGCACTCCTTATTACTAGTTCCCATATTGTATTCATTTTTATGCTTGGTCGGCTCAGGAGATTTTTGTGGCCTATCATATGTGCTGATTCCTTAAGTTTTCATATTTTTCAGTGATGTTCTTTGTCTATTAATTCAACATCATCCCGTGAGGGTGGGGATGTGCTCCCTTTTCCCTCTATGTGTGGTCAGCTACGCTTGATTTTTCTATTTCCCCTCGTGTTACTGCTTTACGATGTTCTTGCAGTCTTACCTTAATATATATTTCTTACCACAGCGACACGGGATGGCGTACACATAGTCCTTAGTCATGTTCTCCTCTGTGAGGGTTCTTACTCGGAAGAAGTGTCTGCGAAGTATTGAACCACTTTTGAAGGTTGTCCTGATGTTATATGGACCACAGGTCCTTTGTATTTTCTCCGATAATCCCTTCACATAGGGTAGGCAGACTAAGGCTGTTTTCTGAGTGTTGTTATCCTCTTATACCATTATATCTTAGCTTATCAGAGCTGCTGCGATATACCCGGAGTAGTTGTTACGTTGTAGGGTACTGCTTATACTGACCATTTCTTATATGTCTCTGGGTCGCCACTTATGATTTTTGCTTGATGTTGTAAGCAGCGGACGATACCTTTCTTTACACTGTATGGGTGGTGGGAGTTAAAGTTGAGGTATTGTCCTGGGAATATAGACTTGCAGTATACAGATGTCTAGAACCCATGCTCTGTTCGGGATATTAGTACGTCCAAGAAGGCGATTTTGTCATCGTTTTCCCTCTCTATTGCGAACTGTATCGATTATCTTATCGAGTTCACACAAGCAGTATCCTACAATGTAACAATCCCTGGTACATGCCTGGTACATGAGAGTTTATCCACAAGTTTAAATCAACTAATTCATAAATTGGAAATACAATAAAAATAAATAGGTAAAAATCGGTTGAATTTAAAATAGAACTTGTTTCACAAAGCTTTTTGGAGTCTACTTTGAATAAAAAAGAGTCAGTTGTAGCATGCAATTTGTAAGCTTATAACTTAAAAATCTGTTGTGGGCCGGTGTTGAGAGATAAATACGTGTCTCCTGACACAACAAACATGACGGAGTCAGGATGTGAGTCCACGTAAATAAATAAAAAGAAACAACAAAAACCAATATACATGTACAAACAAATGATAATGTATTAACAATAAAGGGCTACAAGTGACAAAGACAAAGATGTGTGTGTCAAATGAATGTGAAAACCTAATGGGTTCAAAGTATGTGAAGTGGGTGAATGTGCGTACATACGTGTGTGTGTGTATGTATTGATCATGCGTTTCCCAAAGGGAACGCGTTTTCCGCGAGAGGTTATATGTTGACAAATAGGCAGATAAGGTGAGAAGAGAATGATAAAATAAATTATCGCAGAGTATAGTCCTGAGAGTGTCTCCTAGGAGCAGTTTCGAAAATTAAGAGGAGCAAACTCGACAAATCGAAACGAAGAATTCACTCGATGAATTAAGATAAAACCTTTTAATAAAAAATAAAGTCATCAAACGCACCAACAATTAATATGTATTATATGTTTTAATAGTTCAAAATTTATCTGTTGAATTAATTTGTAGACCATTTAAAGATGTCTCAAAAGAGAAGAAAAAATGACGGCCCAAAAGAAGTAATTTTGTAAATGTTTTATTGTACCATTTTTCATGCTTGTAAGGATTTTATAATTAATCTCAGTAACATTGATTCATTCTAAGTTTTTTCTTTATTAATTGATATTAAAACCTATTGTTAATTTTAATTAAGTTTTTTAAATAAAACCAAGACAATTATCAAGTAAAATTATGTGCAAAACGATCTTTAATCATCTTATTATTATTATTATTATTATTATTATTATTATTATTATTATTATTATGTTATATTTTTTGTAAATTACTTTTTTGTTTAAAATTGATAATTTATTATTGAAATTATATAATTTCAATAAGATCTGTAATTCTCAACGCCATAATTTATCTTCCTTGTGCCTTTTTCTATAAATACTTTCATTGTAAATGTTCTAAGGAATTTTCCCCTGTGGTGTTTCATTTTTAGGATTTTTTTATTTTTATTCCTCCACCCCACAGAAAAAAAACATTGTACATATGGAAACTAGTTAGGACTTCATAGAGACCTTGAGGTATTATGGTAGCTGTAGGTAAGAATGTGTTGTCTTGATATAAGGAATACTGTGGTATGTTTGTGTCAATAATGATGGTTAGGTAAGACAGATTGAAGACCAGCCTTCCTCTATCCCTCCTTTTGGTCTAGTGCCACATTTTTGTATTTTTTGAAAATAAATATTACTTACCCTATGGTACCTAAACAGTATGAATTTAAGCGCAGTACTAGATTGGCAGCAAGGTCTCATCATTTTACAGCTGAAATGGCTAGATGTAACCGTAAGTTCTATGCTAACAGTTGCTTTTCTCGTACTTCTCGCTTGTGGAACTCTCTTTCGGTTTCTTGCTTTCCAGTCAACTTTGATGTGTGGGTTATCCCACTTGAATTTGCCAAAGAACCGTTGCTAGGGGACGCTGCTTAACCATAATAAATGACATACATTTCTCTCCTTGTCTCTCCACTTTTTTCCACACAGGCTTTCAGATGTAGCCATACGTTCAGTTGGAACGTCACCGCTAGGGTCGCGTACGTCTTTCTCTATTTTTTAACTGTTGAACTCTCTCTAACACACACGTGTCTATCGCACACTCACATATACACACGTGACTATCGCACATTCGCATATACACTCATGGCTATCGTGTATACAAATTTCACGCACAAAACGTACATTCTCTTAGTCTAATAGTTTGTTTTAAATGTTTCTTTCTTTTATCGTAAATAGCTTTTGCGGGATTAGTATTCCAGTAGACATGTTTCTACCAAAACACACTGGCATCCCGTAGCTGATGTTCGAAAATCTAAATGCAATGCCAATCGTTATATTCTGTCTTCTTAATCCTTGTTCTTTTATTATTTTTGCACCTTAAAACTGTTTTTCTTTTTCTTATATTCTTTCACACTCAGTAACCCTTTGTGGTTTTATTGCCTTATTTGGCCTTGGGGTGAAATATTTAAAAAAGTAACGGCATCAATAAGTCCATAGTCTAATGATGAAAATGTATTTATTTTGCAAAACCAGCATTTAGTTTTTATTATGTGTGATATGTCAGATTACAGACATAGACTCATTCATAAACTCACACACACACATACACACACATCTAGCAATATTAGCAAAGACTGTGTTTCAACAGAAAAAAAAAAACAAAAAAAGAAAAACATTACCATCGCATCACTGGGAAACAATACTTCTCTTTCTCTCTCTAGTCAGAGAAATAAAAACTTGTGCGATTTTCAGTCATAATGAACGCTAAACACAATATGTATATGATAAATTGTTATTCAACTTGTGTGTCGCATCCAGAAGTTTGACAAACGGAAGTGAATTAGCTCCCTTGTCCAAAAATAGTTTTATCACGTATTTCTTAGTACCAGTATTTTTTAATTCTAAAACCATTTAATTTTTTGGAAATAATGTATTTTAAATACATAAAACCTTTATGAACAATTTCTAAATATTCATAAGAACCTTTGCTTTTAGAAAAAATGATTTCAAACCATCTACTTAATTTTTTAAAGAAATAGAAGACAAGCCAAGGTAAGTGACTGGCATTATATACACAGAGCTTTTTTTACCTTCCTTCCATGGGTAAGTGTCACATGTGCAATTCTGTCATTACAACATTATTTCTGCCTCTTTGACCAAAAGGGTTGCCTGATTGAAATAGAATTTACTTCTGCCTTTATGATGAGGCAATCACTCCTTCCTGTTTTCTTTTTGTTTTGCTCTCTCTCCTTTTTCACCTCTTTCTTCTTGGAAAGAGACAGACACTACCTTTCCTTCTCTTCTCAGCTTACCTTCTCTTTCGGGAAGATGCGGTAATACTGCTCTCCCATCTTTTCTTTGCCGTCACTCCAGATTGGCGGGAAGTTATCCTGTCCTTCTGTCGAGCCACCCAGCCTCTTGCTTAGTTTGAATCCATTATTGTTGCTTTGTTAATTTAATTGTTTTTGCATGTTAATCTTTTAACATTTGTTTGCAGGAACACCACAATGCTGGCTAATTCTGTCATGTTGGATATTTAGCAACCATGCCACATTTGGATTTTACTTAGCAGCGTAACACTTTGATTTAGTTTCCCACCAATTTCTGGATTTGCTTAACGGCATTCCTTGTTCAGCATCTTCTTCATTCAGTACGCTGCCATCTTGGATTTTTACTTACCAGTCCCAACTCACTTTATTTAAGTGCTATAAACTGTGTCTTGTCATTGACTGAAACATTATTAATTTCAACATTGATGAGCTTCAACTACAAACTTTTCCTTTTATCAAGGACTATATCAAACATGAACATTTCCAAAAACTCACCACTTGCACATGGTTACTTTGCTCCTTTTTAGGACTATTAAATTAACCATATTTATACATCTGCACACACATACTTTGAAACTCTTTTATTCATTTTAATATTTCAGCACTTATCAGAAATCTCTTTCATTTCTTACAAAACAGCAATTGTACATATTATAAAAATGTTGATTGTTACCAATAATAAATTTTTGACCTTTAAATAAGAACTCTGTCTTTGTTTTGTTTCAGTTTGGCTGTTAATTTCTACCTTTTATATTTTGTTTATGTGGCAACTCCTCTGTGGGCTGCTACATGTGTCTATT